TGTTACTGGATCTAAATTAATGGTGATGAGTTCTACTAGTTATGAAGTTTGGTTGTCGGGTTATGGTGAACTGTATGTTAAAAAGAAGGACGCTGGCGGAAAGGTTGGCGCTAAGGTTTGGCAAACTCACACCAATGTTCAAAGAAACACGGATCAGGTTGTCAACAATGTTCTTTACAACAAAGGTTCTAGTAGGCTTCTGATTGATGATTTCGGTCATATTTTGGTTCAGGTTCGTGTTTTTTTTGCTTTTTATCGTCTTCGGATGTGTTGTGTTTACCTTCTTTGTTCTTTGGTGTTTTGCTTTTTTAGTTTCGTATTTTTTTCCTGGTTTTTTTTACAACATGTTATTAACATCCTGGCTTTACTTTCCATTTTTGAATATAACAGGTCGACAACATGTTCAACAACGTTGGAGTTTCCCCATACAACTACACTTACTACAACGAGGACACGCGTCAAACCGTCACTGACACCTTCATCACCATCTGGTCCAACGTCCCCAAACACATGATGTACCAAGTTGGTATGAAAAAGGCCGGCTACACTTTCATTCTCGAGGAGTTCCCCGCTGCCGCCAACCAAGTCACCAACTGGAACTTGATCTTGTACGATGGTGGAGGTTCTAAAGTCTGGTGTGCTACTAGCGCTCAATGTAACTGGGCTGGTTCAACTGGATACCGTTTCCCCAGAAACTACTTGTTGCCAACCGACTTCCCCACCGACGCCGTTGATCCATTCGTTGACACTTCTGCTTACCCACACAACTGGTTGAACCCCGCTTACACTTTCACTATCGCCAACTCCTCCGTTCACATTTCCGAAAACCAAAAGTGTGGTCCTCTCTTGGTCTCTGGTCAGGGTCTCACATCTCCCAACAAACGCTTCAAGTTGATCTTGGACTACTCTGGTAACTTGATCTTCAAGGATGGTGTTCGTACAATGTGGGAAACCTACACTGCCAACGTCGACTTTGCCGTTCCTCCCTACTCTCTCGCACTCTCCAACCGTGGTTCTCTCTACGTTTCCGACAAATTCGGCGGCTTGATTGTCAACACCCTTGTCGAAAACAGCATCGTCCGTAACAGTTACATCACCATCAGCGACCAAGGTGAGGTTCAAATTCATGGTACCGACGGCCGTCCCATCTGGACTTCATTCGATCAAATCAACCCCG